CACTTTGCGCCAGGCACTATTCCAGGCGTTGGGGTATAGTACTCAATAAGACAAATGAGGGCCAGACCCTCATAGAGCTTACATTCTTAAATTGTTACATTGCAAAGAATACGTAACAAATACACTATAAGGTGATGTAGGTGGGTGGGATGCTACTTGGGAGTGATCAGAGAAGCCCTCTTTTAAGTGATTTTTTTTTTTTTTTTTTTTTGTGGTACGCGGGCCTCTCACTGTTGTGGCCTCTCCCGTTGCGGAGCACAGGCTCCGGAAGCGCGGGATCAGCGGCCATGGCTCACAGGCCCAGCCGCTCTGCGGCATGCGGGCATCTTCCCGGATCGGGGCACGAACCCGTGTTCCCTGCATCGGCAGGCGGACTCTCAACCACTGCGCCACCAGGGAAGCCCTGAAGTGACATTTGAAGTTTTGGGGGAAAAGCATTTGCTAGTCAAATGTCCAGGGCTTGAACAACTTGGAGATTTGAAGGAAAACCACAAAGGCCGGTTTGTTTAGGGAGCAGCGAGTGAGAAGAGTGATTGGATTAGGTCACAGAGGTAGTCAGAGGCCAGGTCATGAAGGTCCCTGAAAGCCATGGTAAGGACTTTGGATTTCATCTTGGGTAATGGGAAGAAAAGGGAAGGTTTTAAGTCATCAGTTGTATTGATTTCCTTGTTCAAAAGAACAGTCCACTCTCCTTTTTGAGAAACTATTGTAGGGGTCAAGGGTGAAAGCAGGGTGACTAAATAGTTTATTGTAGTAGGTGATGGAGGTTTGGACATGAGTAGTAGTAACTATGGGAAGTCAGTAGATTACTCATATATTTTGAAGGAATTTCCAATAAGCACTGTTGACGGATTGCGTTTGGAGAATGAAGAGAATGGAGAAAACACAGAGGTCTCCCAACTGTCTCTTTTGAGTAGTAGCGTGAATGAAGTACAGTTCACTGAGGAGGAGGAGACTGGTGGAAGAACAGATTTCTTTATTTTGGGGGAAGGCAAGGAAGAAAATTTTAAATTACATTTGAGCATGTTTAATTATATTATGCCCACTGAATAATTTGTAATTGAACTATATGATTTAAGGTTCACCCAAATCTGTGCAAGAATAAGCCACATTATAACAAAGTGCCATGCTATCTGGGAAATTAGAATTAATGACGTGTATTTAAAGTATAAGTTCTTAAAGCAAGTTAGTGTTTCTGTTAGGATAATTGCTACCATTTATTGAGGGGATTTTATTTGTTTGAACCATATGAAATTACAGGTATTGACAATTTTGAACTTGAAAATGGCAATGCCATATGGTTTGTCTCTGTATTTACTGGCCATAGAACTATTTATTTATATATAAGTGAATGAATATTCACAAAACCCTTAAGATAGGCTTTATTAACATATGATTGATAAAATGGAAGTTCTGAGTTACATAACCTGCCAAAAGTCTGATGACAAGTAAGTAGGCAGGCAAGAATCAAAACAAGGTCTTTCTGATAGCATCTGGACTCTTGGTCACAAAGTTACACCGCCCAGATTTTCAGCCAGAGGCATGCTGCCTTCCCCTAAATGTGAAAAGCTTCAGATCCAAAAGACAGATATACAGACACAGAGTGCTTGGTCTGATGGGATGAAAAATTGCTGACTGTCGCCCTCCTATAGAGAGCCAAATCCAAGTGGACCTTACAAGTCAGTATTGCATTTTAGAAGTAAATACAATGAACAAAGAGAAATCAGACAGTGAGTTAACACTATTAAAGGTTGCTCAAAAATTCCCATCAAATTCATTTCTTCAAGAAATTTCCAGCTTCTCTTCCACATTTATCACCTAATGTCTCTACTATACAAAAACATTAAATATAAAACAAGTGATTCTAACCTCAGAAAAAATATAATGCCACTAGCTGGAGCATATTACCAGTCAACAAGCTGTGACCACTTTTATCAACTGCCTTATAGCACATTTAATACCATACTCTCAAGCATCTCTGTACAGTATGAAAAGTGGTACTACCAGTGAGGGAGAGTCAGTATGGAAATAAGTAAAATATGTGATCAATTATAGGGACTTCAAGCTTTTCCCTCTTTACATAGTTTCTAGGTTATCTATATTTCAGTAAAATGAAGAAACTCTTCATATATTTATTCTAACAGTACCTGTGAATCAATTAGGAACTCTATAAGGACAGAATGGCTATGTCTGTTTGATTAGTTAGTAATTAACTATTTAAATCTAAGGTGAAAAAAAAGTTTACAGGACTGAAAAGATTTCTGTCCACTCGTGGGAAGAATATTTCCCACATAGCTCTCGCATTGAGAATGTCAGTTAGAGTCAGTGGTCCTTGGTGGTGAGCAGTAGAAATAGTCACTTAATTAAATCACACTCCTGCTAATATAAAATTGAATTTTCAGTTTAATAGTGAAATGAATCCATTCTTCAGTAATGTATGGATTAGGGGCTGAGTATAGTAGCTATTCCCCAAATTGGTCCAAAAAATAAGGGTAGTACTTATAAATCTCTAAGTTCTCAGCCAGCTTTGCTAGTATTTTAATAATAATAAGTACTGCATCCTTACTACTTCCACATGCCATGCTATGTGCTTTATCAACATTTTTTCATTTAAATCTAACAACCCTATGAGATAGGTTATACCCTTGTTTTGACCAAAACTTAGAGATGTTAAGTAACTTCCCAAGGTCCAGGAGTGCAGAGTTGGGATTTAAACTCAGCTCTTTGACCTCAAAACCCCTGTATATATAATGGTAGAGCTAATTACTATGACTTCACTCTTAGTGGGAGTGGTCAATGGCAATCCTTGTATTATAAAGGTGGCCAGAGAGTCCAGAATCTTGAACCCAACCTGAGAACTGGCTGTGTGTGGTGGTCCTTTTGGTGATCCTTTTTATTCTTCAGAAGTTACATATGTGGGCTTCCCTGGTGGCACCGTGGTTGAGAGTCCGCCTGCCAATGCAGGAGACACGGTTTCATGCCCCGGTCCGGGAAGATCCCACATGCCGTGGAGCAGCTAGGCCCGTGAGCCATGGCCTCTGAGCCTGCACGTCCGGAGCCTGTGCTCCGCAACAGGAGAGGCCACAACAGTGAGAGGCCCGTATACCGCAAAAAAAAAAAAAAAAAAAAAAAAAAGTTACATATGTGATTTTCATATTCAAAGTTTTTCTACAATTAGTTTCCCTGAAAAATAATTATTTTGTGGTCTAAATCAATATTTAGTCAATCAAATGTGTCTGATCACTAATAGAGATGGATTATTTAGTAATTTTCTTGGCTTTGGCAATAATGCAAAAAACACATAGTAGGAAAGAATTGTGGCAGGATACCCCTTCAAAGTATTAATTTCTGGGTTTTCCCTCTTCTCCCAGACTGTGTAAATGATTAGCCATGTGTCATAAGAAAATCAAGACAACAAATATTCAACCATTAGCTTTCAAAAAAGCTACTGACTAAGCCCTACATGGAAAGATTGAGGTACATTCGGATAGAGTTTTTGCTCCCAGAGATGAGATAAAGTATGCTTTCAGAGTGAAGGGAACAGTGGGAGAGGAGAAGCAACGTGGACAAGAAGGCCCATGGGAAAGAGACCCCAAGTTCTCTCCAGAGCCTCACTGCTACTTGCTCAGAGCCAGGGCACTGCCTAGAAGCTGAGGCAGAGCTGAGTTGGTCCTCTCGTCATTCTGCAGGCTCCACATTCACCAGTAGTCAGCCCACTGTCCATCGTTTGTCTAGTTTCAAGTGCTGCTTGCCTTTGTCTTGAGAATCTTCTTCTGATTAACCATCCCTTGGGAATAATCCCTCGTCTAACAGCCCAGGACACTCATAAACACCATTTTGCTCCCCTTTCTGTCCCCAGATTAGAAAGTAGAAGACTTATAGTCCTGGATGGGTAACAGTGCAGAAGCCTTGGACACTTTCTAGAGCAATGCTGATGACAGCCAGAAGGGAAATGTTTAGTCCAAAGAAAGCAGGATTGTTGAAATCAATGTGAAATCATCCACTGAGCCAGGGTGCACAGGAATACACTACCCCATTACAGAGTGTTAAGAAGTGTCTCATCACAGGCAGAGAATGTTAGAGTTGGAAGAGAACTTGGAGAACATCTAGCCTTACCTTTCCACATAGCAGAGGAGGCCCTGAAAGGAGACCTGACTTTTTCCAGGTCAAACAGCAGGTTAGTGGCTTAGCCAGAAACAGAAATAAGATGTCCTGAGTGAGTTTAATTCTCTCTCCACTGAACAGCACAGGCAGTTCTGGCTTGGGAGCTCTTTCTTTGGTGGTGGATTTTTCTCTGATCCTCCCTTAAGTTGTAAGTTGAATGGAGGACCCAGTTCCTAAGTTCTTAAAAGCCCAAATTCAGTAGCTCCACAGGGATGCCAAAGTTAAGGTTTTTGTTGGATTAAATTAGCGTATTACCATAAGATATAGTGAAGACATTTTTTAAACAACTGGAAGAGCCTTAACTGCTAATAGACAGTTTCTCTTTCATAGAAACTGTACAACACTGTTCACATTAGCCCCCAGGTGCCTGAAACAGAGTGGCAGAATGCATTCAGTGCTGTTGAAGAAAATCCAAGCTTCTTTCCCCATGATAAATGAGGAACTGACCTTCCTTATAGCTATGCCTGTATTCTTCTGCTTGTCCTTCCATGAATACTTATGTCACTAGAATTTTTACAGGTGGAAAAGGAGGGTAGCATCCTATTGCCCAGCATTTCTCTAATGTGATCACTTTGTAATTTATACTCCCCACAACGATTTATCTTTGGATATTTCAGTGGCTTCATGCCACTCACCGTTATTAGACAACAAAACTAATTTTTGTCTAATAATGTTGTCTAATACATCAGCCTGCACTTTCTACATTTGCTCTTCCTGGGTTTCTGTTTCCTTTATGTCTTTAGAAACTTTTTCTTTTAGAAGAACGCTAGTCTTTCACCCCACTTTATGTATGTCAGTGTATTTAAACAGTTTCTTTTTTGTAGCAGATTAAAAACTTTAAACACTTCTCTTAGAGAGGTATTGATGGAACCTTCAAATAAAATCTTTGTTTATAGGACACAGGAATAGCTGGATATTAAATCAAAAAGTGTTTCTCATAAATATTAAGTTGACTCCCAATTCACATTTTACACTCTTATTAACATTTCACGCATTGTTTCTGTTCAACCAATTTCAGAACTTCATGAAAAAGTTGAGTGGTAGGTTGGGTAATAGGGTAACACAATGGGAGCCTTTTTTCCAAGGCTGGCATGTGAATAAAGTACCTGCAAATCATAAAACGAAACAAAATAGATTTAAAAGCAAGACTTTTCACACTGGTCACAGTACGTACACACTTACTGGCGTAGCATTGTTGGGTGTGGGAGTCTAACCTGCAGCATTTTTAGCCCTCCAATCTCCCCCATTTGTGACCTAGAAGACCTCTGATATGTATACCTTTCAGCTCATTGAAGCACTTTGCTTCAGCAAAGCGAATTGCATTAATAATGTATCAGTTATCAAAGCATTAATAAGGAAGCCAGGACTGTCCTCACCACAGGGTGAGCTGAGGCTCCTGCCTCTTGTTTTCTCAGGCTGTACATAGCAGGGAGTTGAAATGAGTCAAGCTGGGGTGACCACTAGGGCCAAATCAAGAGGGAAGAGGAGAGTTCGTCCCCACGGCCTCAGTGAGAGTACAGCTGACCCTTGAACAACATGGGTTTGATCTGCATGGGTCCACTTATACTTGGATTTTTTTCAATGTATACAAAAATATATGTCTAGAACATCGTGAGCAAGACCTATAGAAATATGTGTTAATATGTGTTAGTAATATGTGTTGATAAAATATGTGTTAATAAACTTTATGTTATCGGAATGGCTTCTGGTCAGCAATAGGCTATTAGTAGTTAAATTTGGGTGGGGTCAAAAGTTATATGTGGATTTTCAACTGCATGGGGGTTGGCGCCCCTAACCACAACATTGTTCAAGGGGCAACTGTATAGCAAAGGCCAGGGAAGAGACAAAAGTAAGAAAATCTTTAGCCAGCCTCTCGGATGGCTTAAAAGATGAGTTGTCAACCCTGGATGCACATTGGAATCACCCGGACAGTTCATTTTAAATGTCAATGCCGAGGCGCAACCCCAGACAAACTGAACAGAACTTCTACGTGTGAGACCTGGGTATCAGTATTTTTTAATAGTCCCTCTACTGATTCTATGCAGGGCAGGTTGAAAGTCACTTGTGTAAAAACAAGGATCACAAACCTAAATGCCCACAGATAACATAGTAGGAGGAACGGAAAGAGTAAGGACAGAGAGAGGAGACAGTGGCAAACTAAACAGTGCGTGATCTACCTAAGAAGGTAGCTGCTTTTGAGCCCTGACCAACTATTGTCATGTAGGCATGTGACACTATTTTTGCCATTGTTCTGATTTTTAAATGTGCATAGCTATTTTTTAAAAATTCGTTTGTGTGATCCATGCTACAACATGGATGAACCTTGAAAACATCATGCTAAGTGAAAGAAGCCAGAAACAAGGGCCATATGTTGTATGATTATATTTGTATGAAATGTCTAGAATAGGCAAATCCACAGAGACAGAAAGTAGATGAGTGGTTGCCAGGGCCTGGGGTGTGACTGCTTCATGGGTAACAGGTTTCTCTGAGAGTGATGAAAATGTTTGGCAATTAGATAGGGGTGATGGTTGCACAACATTGTGAAATGTATTAAAAGCCACTGAGTTGCACACTTGAAAATGTTGAAAATGGTGAATTTCATGCTATATGAATTTTACCTCAAAAAAAGTGAGGAAAAAATTGGGTTGCGTGCACCACCTCAGAGTGGGCCCAACAAAACTCTTTTATGGGAGCCAGAGTGGAACCTATGGTGTAAAACCACATGGAGGAAAAACAGGATCCACAGTTGGACTGTAACTTTTTTTTTTTTTTTTTTTTGCGGTTCACGGGCCTCTCACTGTTGTGGCCTCTCCATTGTGGAGCACAGGCTCCGGACGCGCAGGCCCAGTGGCCATGGCTCACGGGCCTAGCCGCTCTGCGGCATGTGGGATCTTCCCGGACCGGGGCATGAACCTGTGTCTCCTGCATCAGCAGGCGGACTCTTAACCACTGCGCCACCAGGGAAGCCCTGTAACATTTTTTAAAGCAAATCTTTAGGCCATAATATATGCCTCCACATCCTTGTATGTCTCCATCCAAACTGGTAGCAAAGCTATGCCTGCTGCACCCTTTTCATCTTAAGTTAGACACAACCTAGGGTTTTTTTCCTTGATAGGTGCTAAGGCAGGGGTGTATGGCTAAGTGCATTTGGTTTTGGCAGCCTATAAATAGAAGTGGGAACCCCCGAGGTGCAGGACAAGCTGACTAATGAAACAAAGGCTTGCTAATGTTCTTTCTTACTATTTTGTTATGGAGAGTAAGAGAGGGGTAAATGAAACAAACAAACAAAAAAACCCCTAATAACTGCATTCATCGTTCCTCCTTTATCAATTGTTTTTCTCTCCCAGTGACTCAGTTAATTCACAGCCCATAATATATTGCCTCCTTTAGTAGGGTTGGTTACTTTCCATTACTCACAGCATGTTAAAATCATTAACATGATTCTGTGAGATAGATGCTGGTTGAAATCAAGACAATGAGGGAGAAACAGTTCTTCAGAGAGAGGTTTGATGAAAAGACTAGTGAACTAGCCTTTTTTGGCCTGGGAATGTGCTTCAGGTGGCAATGGTTCTTAGAGCACCACCCGCCCCCCTCCCCCAAATCCTACCTTACCACAGTAAGGTAACTATTTTATCAAAGTAAAATATTATTAAAAACAAAAATTAGAATTTCCCTTTGTCACTTAATCTTCTAAATATTGGGCAGTGTTGTAGTTTTGCATGAAAATCAGAAATGAGTGGATTTTACTGCAGATAAGATTCTGACTTTTTCTTACCTGAATTCTTCTCTGTAGTCATTCCTAATATACTCAGCTAAAGTCTTGCTGTACTGCAGGCAGCTCTTGAGGATGTAAAACTGCTGGTATAACAGAACTGCTTGGCCAGGACTTAGCAGCTGAAATGAAGCTGAAAGCCCCTTCACCACTCGTTTCACAATTCTGGCCACAAAAGTAATCTAGACAAGGAGAATGCAGTTACACGTAGGCTGCATGACACCTGTAAGAGCACCTACTTCAGCTGGAATCTCAACTATAAATCTAGGCTGAGGTCCTCACCACCCTTACACCAATGCCCTTGCATTGTGCTATTTCTTATTGAAATGGTACTCAGAGAGCACCAGACCATAGATCAATTGGGCTTACCAATTGCCCCCCTACAGGCAGGGTCAGAACTAGTACTGACTGTCAAAGAAGTTTGGCTCCAAAGTGGAAGGAGAGCTTTGGAAGTATAAATTTAGGCTACTGTAAAAAAACAGAAAGGAAAGCTAGTGCTCTTTCAGGCTCTAGTAAGCAGGTCATTCTGGATGCCCCTTAAATTAGTACCAATAAATGTGGCCTTTTCTATTGATGTTGCTACAGACCATTCCTAAGTAGGGCAGGTGATTTGAAGTGAGGTTTCCGCAATTCAGATCCATTTACACATATTGACTAGGTATTGTGTCGGGCAAACGCAGATTGAGGTCAGAGAGTCTGGAGCAGGGAAACAAAGCAATGGCCATATGGGGATTAAATTTTTAATTTCTTTAGCATCTTGCTCCGACCAAGTAAGAGAATCAGCCAGCACTGACTGGGATGGTGTATTCAATGATCCCAACAGGTTCCTTGCTTGCAAGTTTCTCTAAAGTGGTCTATTTCTATCCAGACTCTTTAGAAATGGGTTAATACCAAAGCTTTAAACAGTGCTAGTGGTCCTTTTGCCATCTTTCATCCTGACATGCTTTATGGTCACAGTCTGGGCTCATAATCAACTCAGTTCCTTTGGTGAACCAACCCTAGAGGTTGATAAGGAAACTTTCCTGTTGCTTGTAGTTTTTAGGACCCCGTCTGGAACCACCGCAGAGAAAAAGGAAGGGTTTTGCATCTTGCACATAAGAGCTTCTGGGCTGGGAATGACTATAACTGTACAGCACTCTGAAGTGGGCCCGAGATTGGTTGGGGTCTATGTGCTGCTAAAGGAGCCAAGTTCTTGGGTTCAGTCTCTGTATAAGGTAATTGGCTGTACTACTGACAAGTGTACCCTCTGCCTCCAGCCAAGTTTTTGGAAACATATGTCACAGAAATCTGGCAAGATAATCTAGATTCCCTAGGACAGACTCAACATCACTCTAGAAAAATACCTCAAAGCAGAAAATCACCGATGGTTAAGAGAGGCATCTTCATATATGGAAAGAGAACATAATACCACGTGTCAAATCCTCCATTAGCAACGAAAATTTAGTTTGGGTTACTACCTTTTGAAAAGTTTTCCATTTAAATCTATGTTGATTGAATAGACAAATACATGAATGAATAAAGGGAAAGGAAGTTTGGGGACATGAAAAGAGATTAGGGGATAAAGCCTTTATTAGAATTAATTCAGCAGATATTTTATTTAGCATCTATTGTGTGCCTAGCACAACAGACATAGCTCCTACCCTTACTGGCACCTGGAGTCTGTTTGGGGAGAAAGACATTGTATCAATCATGATAGACTAAGTTATGCTGTGGTAACAAATCTCACAAAACGTCAATGCTTTGCTTAATACAACGAAGGTTTATTATTTGCTCACACTGTATGTCCCTTAAGGGTCATTAGGGGGTTCTGCTCATTGTAGTCACTCAGGACCATATGGAGTGTTGCCACTCACCATGCCAGAAGGAAAAAGGAAGCCAGGGAAGCATGCACTGGCTCCTAAACCTTTGCGCAAGAAGTGGCGTAGGTTACTTCTGCTCAGATTCCATTGGCCAAAGCAAAAACAGAGAGCTACCTAATTTCAAGTGGGGAAGGATGTACGCTCCTACTACGTGCCTGGAAGGAGAGAGAGCCAGAATATGTGTGGACACTAATGGCTACCACAAGAAAGAACCAAATAATAACACAAACACATGTGACTGCAACAGTGACAAGTTCTATGAAGAAAAGGAAGAAGACACCATGCTATGATTGTGTGCCCATAATGGGGGAATCTTACCTAGTCAGAGGTGAGAGAATCATCCCCCCCACCCTGCACCAGGAAGGGGCACTGAGGCCTGAAGGACAAGTAGGGGTTAACTAGGTGGAAAAGGGAGGGGAAAGCATTTGAGGAGGGCAGACTGAGGGAATGGTAAAGATCCTGTGACGGAGTTGGGGGTGTTGGGGGTGAGCAGTGGGTATAAGACCGACATGGAAGAGTGAGGCAACTGATGAGGCTGTAGGGTCATAATATGTACAGCCTTGTCGGCCATATTAGGAAGTTTAGTCTTTATTTATTATATCTTTCTTTATTACGAGAGATTTAAAGCAAGGGATGACATAATCAGATTTTTATTTTGCATTGGTTCCTCTGACTGTAGTCCGGTGAGAAGATAGGACAGACCATGTAGATGCAATTATAGTGCCAAGGAGAGAGATGGTGATATTACAGACCAGGATGGTGGCTGCCAGGGCAGAGTGGCCAGAGTATTAAAAGTGTTATATTCGTACTTGCCAACTCACACTCAGTGTTTAAGATAAATGTTCATTTTTTTCACTTAATTATACAGCCAGTATTTTAATATTCTGTTTTCTGCATATATCTTAGGGCTTTTCATTAAATAAAGATCACGTTTAAGATGTCATTTCAGTACCTTAAACATTCAGGCCCCAAATATAAAAACATTTTATTTTGGTTAATAAAATCATCAAATTTACATTTTCTTCTGTTTTATAAACTTGACTACTTACAGAGAAATTTTGTTTTATTAATTAAGCACAAGAGCATCTGTTTCATTAGCCTTGAGTGGTAGTTTTGTTTCTGCTTCTACGTACTTACTATGGGAGGACGACTTTGTAGAAAGGACATCATCCAGCTAATAGCAAACTTTGATGACCCCAATCCAAGATTTCCCTAAAAGATTCAAGGAAATAAACAAGTTATATTCATGAAGTTCAAGTTTTAAAAAGATACCTAAAAAGATATTCATTCTCAAATACATTTTATCCTGATTAATCAAATCTTTAAAATCAGTATTTAGGAAAATAAGCTAGATGAACACTTAAGAGCAAAAGCAGTACTATCATTTAAATCAACCAATTTTGGAGATTATCTCTAATACAAACATTTTTAAGGTATATTATTAATCATATAATATATATATCATATGATAGTCATGACATATATAATAATCACACAATATAGTATGTATAATAAAAACGTACCTGCTGAAAGACAAGAAGTATCTCATATAAAAGTGCTGTAGCTGTATCTGTGTATTCCAGGATAAGCTTCTGTAACTAGAATTTTAAATAGTAATCAATGCAATATCATTGGCAGAGCCAGAAAATGATCATTTCTCCTGGTTCTCTTTAAGTATTTATAAAAGAATTTATGATCAACAAAAAATATTAGTGTGGTTAATTTTCTTGTTCTGTTTGATTCAGTCATTCTCAAAAAAGTGGCTCTCATAAAATGAGTGCACATTTAATAATGGCTAAGAAAGTAGGTCAGGGAAAGAAGATACAAGGTCCTACAGAATACTAACACAAAAAAAATTGCACACTTAATTTGCAAAATCATTCAGATCAGCAACCCTGCTTCCTTTCAAGAATGTAGAAATTTGCTCCCCAGAATTAAAGTGGGAGATTCTCTGGGGAATTTAGTCTTATGCCCATCTTGAAGGATAACTCCTTCTGTGGTATGGGTAAGTATAGGGTTAGAGACATTTTGTTGCTGTTGTTCTCAAGAAATCCAAACAGTTGGTGAAGCTGTCTTCTAGCCCATAGGCCACTTGGTGCATGAGAAAGAACTGTGCCTATAGGCATGCTACAGGCCAACACATTTTCCCTGGCGGTATTCTTTGCAAGGAAGAGCTCTATTTTGAAATCTCCCACTCTATTAGACCTTGGAACCAGAATTTATATGATTTGCTCATGGCTTCACTAATAGCCCAGGTGCAAAAGGTCAGCAGATCCAAAAACAGGAAATTCAGACCTATCTATACTGCCCACTAAATATTTTCATATGGAAATATCAAAGGCAAATCAAATAAACTAATCCAAAACCAAGCTCATTATTTCCCCTTTAAACCTACTCTTCTTGTTGTAATTCTTATCTGTCACCCAGACCAGAATCTAGAAGTCATCTAATCTTAACTCTTTATCTTCCCATCAACTTATCAACTCAGTTTCCTAAAAATTTCTGGAATCTTTCCTCTTCACAACTACTATCCCTTTTTTTCATTTATTTATTCAACAAACATGCATCAGACACTGTACTAGTTGGAGTACTGTACTGTACTAATGGAGAGTAACAAGAGACATGGTTCCTGCCCTCATGGAATATACAGTCTAGTGGGGAACAGACATCAGTCTAATAATCACATAAATTGCATAGTTACAAACTGAGACAAGGGCTCTGAAAGAAAAACACAAGAAGGTAGGAGAGCTCTAAAAAGAAAGCCTAGTTTTGTTTAGGGGTCAAGGAAGTCTTCCTTCTTGCCCATATCATCCCTCACCTGAACTACAGCACTAGCTTCTTAACACCTCTGTCTGTCAGTCTTGCTTCCATCCTCCTCTTTCATCCCTAATTCCCTCACTCCACTGTTGATATTGGGATCATAGACGCTCTGTATACAGTCTGCTATAACACATTGATGTTATATTTGACTAACATCTGTCTATCCAACTCGACTCTAAACTAATGAGGGCAGAGATTGTGTCTATTTTGCTTCTCGTTTGGACCCCACTGCCTAGCACACTGTTTAGCTCATAACAGTTGCTCAATAAATATTTATTGAATGAATGAGTGAATTTAAGAGTTTTCTAAAACATAACTCTGATTGTATGTTCAACAACTATGAAATCATGTCCCATCCTTTAAAGAAATTCTGTGTTGGCCTACTCAAAATAAACTAATAATAACCTGATTTATTCTCTCAGAATAAGTGCATTATAGGCACTTTGATATGTCTAATGTTTTAGTAAAACTTTAGAAAAATAAGTAACTAAGTTTGCACTACTTAGATAGGTAAGGAAATGGTAAACTAAGGCAAGAACGTTAATCCTAAAATCTCTAAGACAGTGCTTTTTTACCCGTTAGACCCTTGCTGTGGAATTATATATGTAAATATTTTATATAGAGACAAATATAAACAGATTTATCTAATGTATAAAGAATAATAATTTTTCTTAGTATGCATACTTTAAAACATATGAAATGGATATAATAGTAATATTGACAGAATAGCTATCTAAATTTTGAGATTAATAACAACGTATTTACTCTTTGATTTAATTATCTTTCTATACTCTACGATGTCAAGGTCCACATAGAAGAACCCAGGACCCCTATATATTGTAGGTAGTCTATTCCAAAATTCTCCTCTCACCTCAGCATCAAAAGACATCTCAACTAAAGCTGAATCAGCCACCAACTGGATGTCAAACACAGGACAAGATTTTGGACTCTGAGGCTCGCTAATTAAAATTACCAAGAGGTTAAATAGTGTTCCCCTGGAAAAAAAAAAAAGGCAGTTAATGAGAAAAGTTAAAAAAAAAAATAGCAGTGACACTAAGTTTGCAGAAACTGAGTGTAATTATACTTACAGGTATGAAGCATTGCAGACCATTCTTTTTTTTAATTGAGGTATAGTTGATTTACAATATTATATTTGTTTCAGCTATACAATATAGTGATTCAAAAATTTTATAGATTATACTCCATTTATAGTTATTATAAAATATTGGCTGTATTCCCCATTTTGTACAATATATCCTTATAGCTTATTTATTTATTTATTTATTTATTTATTTATTTATTTTTTGCGGTACGCGGGCCTCTCACTGTTGTGGCCTCTCCCGTTGCGGAGCACAGGCTCCGGACGCGCAGGCTCAGCGGCCATGGCTCACGGGCCCAGCCGCTCCGCGGCATGTGGGATCTTCTCGGACCGGGGCACGAACCCATGTCCCCAGCATCGGCAGGCGGACTCTCAACCACTGCGCCACCAGGGAAGCCTGCTTATTTGTTTTATATGTAGTTTGCCCTCTTAATTCCGTATGTCTGTCTTGCCCCTTTCCCTTCCCTCTGCCCACTGGTAAGCACTAGTTTGTTCTTTATATCTGTGAGTCTGTTTCTTTTTTGTCAGATTCATTAGTTTTATTTTTTAGATTCCACATATAAGTGATATCACAGTGTTTGTCTTTCACTGTTTGACTTATTTCACTAAGTGTAACACCCTCCAGGTCCATCCATGTTGTTGCAAATGGCAAAATTTTATTCTTTTTTAGAGCTAAGTACTATTCCATTGTGTGTGTGTGTGTGTGTGTATACACACACACACACACACACATATATATACACACACACTACATCTTCTTTATCCATTCATCTGTTAATGGACACTAAGGTTGCATCCATATTTTGGCAATTATAAATAATGCTGCTATGAACATTGGAGTGCATGTATCTTTTCGAATTAGTGTTTCTCATTTTGTTTAGATATATACCCAGGAGTTGGGCAATTCCAGTTGGAATTGCTGGATCATATTGTAATTCTATTTTTAATTTTTTGAGAAACCTCCATACTGTTTTCCATAGTGGCTGCACCAATTTACATTCCTACCAACAGTGTACAAGAGTTCCCTTTTTTCCACATCCTCACCAACATTTGTATTTGTGGTCTTTTTGATGATAGTCATTCTGGCAGATGTGAGGTGCTTTCTCATTGTGGTTTTGATTTGCATTTCTCTGATGACTAGTGATGTCGAGCCTGTTTCATGTGCCTGTTTGCCATCTGTATGTCTTCTTCGAATAAATGTCTTTTCAGGTCTTCTGCCCATTTTTTAATCGGGTTGTTTGGGGGTTTTTTTTGCACTGAGTTGTATGAGTTGTTATATATTTTGGATATTAATCTTTTATCAGTCATATCATTTGCAAATATTTTCTCCCATTCAGTAGGTTGTCTTTTCATCTTGTCAATGGTTTCCTTTGCTGTGCAAAAGCTTTTAAGTTTAATTAGGTCCCATTTGTTCATTTTTGCTTTTGTTTCCTTTGCCTTAGGAGACAGATCCAAAACAGCATTGCTACAATTCATGTCAAAGAGTGTTCTGCCTATGTTTTCTTCTAGGAGTTTTATGGTTTATGGTCTTACATTTAGGTCTCTAATCCATTTTGAGTTTATTTTTGTATATGGTATGAGAAAATGTTCTAATTTCATTCTTTTACATATAGCTGTCCAGTTTTCCCGGCACCGCTTACTGAAGAGGCTGTCTTTTCTCCATTGTATATTCTTACATCCTTTGTTGTAGATTAACTGACCATAAGTGCATGGGTTTATTTCTGAGCTCTCTATTCTGTTCCATTGATCTATGTGTCTGTTTTTGTGCCAGTACCATATTGTTTTGATTATTGTAGCTTTGTAGTATAGTCTGAAGTCAGGGAGCACGATACCTCTAGCTGTTTTTTCTCAAGATTGTTTTGGCTATATAGGGTCTTTTGTGTTTCCATACAAGTTTTTAAATTGTTTGCTCTAGTTCTGTGAAAAATGCCATTGGTATTTTGATAGGGATTATATTGAATCTGTAGATTGCCTTGGGTAATATGGTCATTTTAAGGATATTAATTCTTCCAATCCACGAACACAGTATATCTTTCCATCTGTTTGCATCATCTTCAATTTCTTTCATCAGTGTCTTACAGTTTTCTGAGGTAGGTTTCACCTCAGAAAACTATAAGGTAGATTTACCTCCCTTAGGTAGGTTTATTCCTCCTTAGGTAAGTTTATTCCTAGGTATTTTATCTTCTTGATGCGATTGTAAATGAAATTGTTTTGTTTTGTTTTTTATGAAGTGGTAATTCATCATGGTTTTTTAAATTGATGTATAGTTGATGTACAATATTATATAAGTTACAGGTGTACAGTATACTGATTCACAATGTTTAAAGGTTCTACTCCATTTATAGTTATTATAAAATATTGGCCATATTCCCCATGTTGTATAATATATCCTTGTAGCTTATTTTATACATAATAGTTTGTACCTCTTAATCCCTACCTCTATATTGCCCCTCCCAGGATTGTTTTCTTAATTTCTCTTTCTGATAGTTCATTGTTAGTGTATAGAAATGCAACAGATTTCTGTGTATTAACTTTGAATCCTGCAACTTTACCAAATTCATTGATGAGCTCTAGTAGTTTTTAGTGGCGATTGCAGATCATTCTTGACTGAGCTTTTGTATCCCTAGACATGCAGACAAATGTCTAGTGATAAAACATTTAAGTGAAAATATAATTTCTTGGTCTTTTGGTTCAGAAAAAATATAGTTCTAGAAGTTCACTTAGCTTGGAAAGCTTAGGGAATCTGGATTTAAGGGAAATTTGAGTGATTTAAATTATAGCAGTATTTCCCAAAGGGCTTTTTATGGATTACTAATTCCAGGCAATATTATAGTCAAAATGGGTTCTGTGGTCAAAGGAAGTATGGGAAATACTTGGGTAAGCCAAGTTCACTGGATAGTTTTACTACAGGACTTCTCAGAGATTTTATATCTGTTTATCTCTGGGACAAAGAAACAGTATGAAGCATTTCTTAAAATGCTTATCTCTTAAGTTTTTTGACTCGAGAAACCTTTTTTTAACAAAGCATTTCAGAGGTTTACTGTTCCACTAAAGATCACTAGCTATTAGTGAATAAAACTAGATTTAAACTTGAAGCCTTTTGATTTCAAACAAAAATGTGGACTGTTAGTACAGTCCACTAACGTATACTAATAACTCACTTAAATGTTACTATATATTTGAATAATATATCATAGTATTTGAAAATAAAAAGGCACACACACACAAAATCACAATTCAAAACGTGCATCCTGAGAAGCTGGGTTAGTAACCCTATTTTCATATGTATAGTACAACCCATGTATGGTTGAAAAGGAGCTGAAGGCAGACCACTGAAAATATCAGTTGCCTAATTGAAGTCAGTATCAGAGTAGCTTTGACAGATAGGAGCAATAAAAGAATTTACATACAGGACTGTATAAAAATTCTCTATAACCTTAAGCATTCCTTTCATAATGGAATAAAGAAGAATATAAACAATCCTTGTTTAGTAATATTTGAGGCTTCCTAATCTTTTTACAATCATTTAAATCATTACCATGATTAGAAGTTTACCAAAATTCTACTAGAAATATAATTCCCCTCGTTTCTCCAACTCAAAAAACAAGTCTAGGGCTTCCCTGGTGGCTCAGTGGTTAAGAATCCGCCTGCCAATTCAGGGGACACGGGTTCAAGCCCTGGTCCGGGAAGATCCCACATGCCGCAGAGCAACTAAGCCCGTGCACCACAACTACTGAGCCTGCGCTCTAGAGTCCGTGAGCCACAACTACTGAGCCCATGTGCCACAACTAATGAAGCCCGCATGCCTAGAGCCCGTGCTCTGCAACAAGAGAAGCCACCACAATGAGAGGCCTGTGCACTGCAAGGAAGAGTAGCCCCCGCTCACTGCAACCAGAAAAAAGAAAGCCTGCGTGCAGCAACAAAGATCCAACACAGCCAAAAATAACTAAATAAATAAATTAATTAATTAAAAAAAAACAAAACAAGTCTAGTTCTCATTCTGCAAAAGAAGTTAGAACATTGTCAGTTAGCACATCGCTCAAAAAAGCAGGATATGTCCTACAGGATATTTGCTAATGTTTGATTCAGGCTGTTTTATAAAACAGCCAGTCTATTTTCAGAAGACACTTCCAAAATCAACAAAGCACTCCATTTAGAAGCTTTTCCTGATATTAAGTTTGAATTGACATTCCATTCACTGTTATATTTAATTATAGTCCTTTATTTTCAGCAACAGCTTCATTTCAAAGTATCGTATATCCTAGGCTACGGGAAGGAACTCTCAAATTCTGAGTCACTTGCTGTGGTAATACATGAATTCAACCATAAGGATACTGAAAAAAAAGAAAGGATTATGGCATATTTCAAGAATACAATGAAGTGGGTTGAACAAATAAAATTTCTACTTATGAAAAAAATAAAGAGAAAAATGCTGAAATGAATAAATGCTTTTTTATTTGCTCAAATGGAATTTAATTTGAAATCTATCCCTTCTGCCAACTCAATTTAAAATCCATTAAGCCAATAATAGATAAAAGAATTTTAATCTAAAATGGTAGTTTCATCCTGACTTATTATAATAGACTTACTATAGGGTTGACATCACACCCTTAAAAATGGTACCAACTGTTTGATACTTTCATTGTTTAGATTGTTATTATTTCTAATATAAGAATTTTTAATGTGTTAAAGTATCTTAAAATACAGACTTTGAAGGGCAAACTCATGGTCTCAAAAGTCATCTTATGTTATTGTGGTAGGCAGAATTTTAATATGGCTTCCAAGATTTTCATCCCATGGTATATACACTATATGATCCCTTCCCCTAAAGTATGGTCAGGACCTGTGAATCTATTAGGCTATCACTCTTGTCATTGTGTTATGTTAGATGAGAAA